GGGGGGATCAAGGAGTAAGTGGGACTTCCTGGGGGAAGAACAAGAAAAAAGGAAAAAAAAAGTTTAAGACACCCCCCCCCTTAGTTTTATCATGAATGATTTTTCCAATGCGATTCTGGTTTCCTTCAAGGGTTGATTTAGAGCTTTGTATGTATGTCTGTGTGTGTATGTTGCTAAGGTCACCATGGCTGACCGGGCTGCTGCTGAAAGAGCCTGCAAAGATCCCAACCCCATCATTGATGGCAGGAAGGCCAACGTGAATCTGGCATACTTGGGAGCAAAGCCAAGGATCATGCAACCAGGTGAGAAAACAAGGGTCCCTTCTGCCTCCCCTCCCCACTAGAGACGCCCATTACTTCCTACAATGAATCCCTGGTTTAGAAGGCATTGGTTCTCTGAGAACCTGTAGATGTGTTTAGTAAAGTTAAACCATGATTTGTTATTCTACCAAGGCATTAAAGATAAATAGATGAGAGTTGTAAACACTCCTTTCAGGACTTGAAATATACCTGTGTACAAAAATAGATCTGGGGGGTCTGGACAGTTTGTACACACCCAGACTTGGGCTTGACTCATCTGTTTTCTATATGACATTAGTCACAATCCACTCTGCATTTTCGAGTTTTTGTAGATAACTCAGATCTGGATTATACGGGCCCAATTTGTCAACTCCAGCTGGTTATACTTCCTAATGTAGTGCTGTGTCTCCTTTTACCACCAGTTGCCCTGAGCTCAAAGCAGTCACTCAGACTTGAACACTGAAACCAAGAAAAGCATAGGGTTGCAAGTGGAGGTGTCTGGATGATGTTTAACATAGAATCACAGGATATTAGTAATTAAAGTAGAGCGATTTCACATACTCTAGGACCCTCATGTTACAGATGAAGAAACTGATAGAGATGAGAAATAATTTATCCCAAAATCACATAGCTATTAATCACCAGTAGGGAGCACAGTTTTGTCTATGTGAAAACATGACCTTTTGCGTTTACAACACTGCCCTTTGCATTAGCACAAATAATTGAGAGTTGACTGTTAATCAAATGTAATCTTTTCTTGGGTAAGCTACTTTCCATCTGAAATTTGGGAAAGAGGTTGACACTTCCATCCAAACAGATTTACTAGGAAACTAGGTTGTCACAAAAGTGGGTGCATGTGCAACTATCTATGAACATTAAAAAACATGTATTTGTCTAATATGCTGTGTATATATACTGTCCAGAAGAGAAGGAAAGGAGAGTTTGTTTTGGTGAATTTTTATACTATTGTCTGTAAAATCTGTAATCTTCCAAAGCATTGTTCAAAGCATTCCAGAATGTTCCAAATTACAAAGAATTTTTATAGATCATGATTCAGAATCATAGGAATATTTTTGCCATGTAACTTCATTATCAAGTCCTATTGTTCTTGGTTTCATTCCATGAGAATTCTTCCCTGGACTAATTTTCAAAGGTTTTATTCTATGTCTGTCAACTTAACTTTGCAGATAATTTTTAGTTTCAACTTCTAGCCTATTGAAATGTTTACTTGGATTAACAATAACATTAATAAAACTGACTTTTAAATATATATACTATCTTCTCTAAAGCGTCAAAAGGATGGTTATCTTTTCTATGTTAAAGTTGCAATTGCTCTTTATATGTAGGAGTTATAAATGCCTAATCATTCATAAATAGAGAATGTGGTATGTTTTGTTGTTAGGTTTTGCCTTTGGGGTTCAACAACTTCATCCAGCCCTTATACAAAGACCTTTTGGGTAAGTCAATTAGCCAGGCCCTCGTAACTTTCAATATGGCTATAATTTGTTAACTGTTTCTTATATATACAGACAAGACCATCATGTCACAGAATGTTCCTTGTTATACATATTTATATATGTTTGTGTATTCTTAATGCTGATAATATAAATATTTTTAGATGAGTCAAGTTATCTGATCAAGTATACAGCCTCCAAACCAGACAAATTTTGAGCTTATGATTAACAAAACAAAAATACCAGGTATGACTTGTGTACAAGACAATTGTGTCCCAACACCATTACTACTGTTCAACTTGACTCAATTTTATTTATCTCTTTCTAACCTGACAGGGCTCGTATACAGTTAAGCTAACTGATCAGAAGGATACCATGATAAGAGGTGGAATAGTTCTGTTTGGAATTAAACTGTAACCAGTAGACTCAGACACACAAGCTCAGATGGTGATTAACGATGCATGGATGTTGGTGTTGTTTTATTTCTCACAATAGTCAATAGACCTTCGTGTGCTTTATTTTATTTATTACAGTAATGAAGTGATGTTGATAGCTAAACTGTGTGCTTTTTACTTAATTGAAAAGAGCTGTAGTGAAAGTGTTTTCTTTTCCTCGGGGAAGGGGCTCTTTGTGTTTTGGTTTTGGTGGTGGTGTTGAGGAGTGTTGACTTTTGACTTTGCCATGGGAAGCAAAGGGCCTCTTTTTTTTCCTTGCTTTTAAGCTGTAGCCTGTGACTTCCATTTAACCATACTTTTGTAGTGAGTGCTAAATCGTGTGATTTCCCTCTGTAAGAATACAGATACATTACTTGCATGTCCTAAGTTTCTGTTTTACTGGGGAGTTTTCTGGGAATGGGGTTCTTTCTTTTGCAATGTGTATCCACTTTTAGGCCTTCTAATTTAAAGGTTCAACAACTCTCATCAGATTTTGTTAACACTAGCCAAGTTTTTTAGTAGAGTAGCACTAACTTTCACATTTCAGACCTAACTCAGGTGAACAGTCTGCTCATATTTGTGTTATTTCTGGGTTTTGTGATCAGCAGCTTTCCTCATTTGAGCTCCCTTATTTTCTTTCCATTCAGACAAGATATGAGTGGGAGATCCCCTAACACCTAAGTTTATTCTGAACACTTAGAGTCTATTTTGGCTATATTCTGCGTGATCAATATTGCTGTAACTCTAATGCCAGAGATTTAAACTTCCTTTTCAAATATTATAACTGTTTAAGAAGTGTTCTATCCTCAGAAATAGTTTCTTCTTTAGCTTAACATCTAAACACCTACATGTGTATGTAGACTGGAAGGTTGGATTCTATCTATATAGACAGATATCTACCTTATGTTTCTCTAAGAATAGACCCCCCCCAAAAAGTAATAATATTTTTACTTGGAAGAGTCAAGTTACATTTTCCATGAATGCCTTCTTATAACCTTCCTGTTAACATATCGATACTTCACTCTTACTGCCAAGTCTTACTTGTTTTAAACCTTGGAAGAGTCTTCTGTCCAATATCATTAAAAGGGCCTTCAATCCATAGCTATTTTTCAATGCCTCATCCAAACCATCCTGGATACTGACAACAATTAGTGGGTTTATTGGTCCAACTACTTCTGTGGGCTCCTCCCCCCACATTGGTCTAGACTATGTTGAAAAAGGGATTGGGAAGGAAAACATACATCTTAGGAAGTGATAGTGAACTTAGTCAGGATCTCACAGTAACAATCTTGAAACAGTTATACAACTGAATTATTGATCAACAGGTATTTGCATGTGTTTATGTTTCTCTGTGCTAGGGGGTGATACAGAATAAGGACATTGCCCTTTAGTTTGAGAACTAAAAAACAGACCAATCGAGAACTTGATTGCTAAATTACTTGGTATAGTTTTCAGTACAAAAGGAACTCAGAATAGCAGTAAAATAGATGAGCTGGAGAAGCTGAACTAGGCTCTGTGGAGACTTGAATGAGGCTTGAATCAATGGCTATACCCTAGACAGGTGAAAGGACGAATAGATATGTCTCAAGGGTATAGGATGAGGTGAGCTACGCAGAGGCACAGAGGAGAAAAAACTCAGCATGAAGAATGTTTATGGAGGGTCTTAAGAGCTACACATAGAAATCTGGACTGGTTGTCAGAGTCCTTATAGATCTTTGAGAAAGAAAGCAGCCAGAGGAACATAAGAACAACCAGAGTAAATTGTGTCACATGAAAATTTTAAAGCAAACATGTTTTGATAGTAACCTTTTGTTTTTCATCTCTTTTAATATTAGCTGTCTTGATAAAGGATGGTGATTATTACTGTTTGCATAAATTGTTTGAACTTGAGATTCTTATTAAAAATAGATAGCATTCCAGATGAACCAAGCAAGCCTTCCCTTTCTTTTTTAAGAGGTTCTCAACACTGCTCTGGTTCCCAGAGTCTGTACCTAACAAATCACACCTGGTCATCCTAAATTCTACTTGAATGCTACATGTTCTTATTTTAGGCCTGAAAAGACGCTTGAAAATTTTTAATTTGATTTAATTTATTTAAAATTCTCGTAATTGAACTATTTTTTTCTAGTTGTAATCCTTAAACAGCCCCAAATTACTCTGGGCCTTTAAAGAGAAAACCTTGGCCTAAAGGAATTTGTGATGTAACCCAATGGATAGATGTATAGAAACCTGTGAATTTTTTGAACAGTATATTATGTATTTTATGTTCGAAAGAAGCATTTTCTTACTGCAACCTTGCAGAAGAGAGAATGCGGATCTGTGAATAGAAATTTCTAGGCTAGTTTAGATCAGGTTGCAATACACTTAAACATTTACCTAGTATACCTTTAAGTGCTAAATTTTCAGCTGGTTGTGTTAACATTGTACTAGGTATTATACTGTCCACTAAAAGGGGCAGAAGGGACAATAACTAACATTAACTGAACATCTACATGCCTAGTACTGATAAGGGATTTCGATTAATTACATAATTTAGTTCTCACAATAATTATTTGATGAAGGCACTGTTAATGTCCTTTCCATGGGTGATGAAACTGAGTTGCAGAGTGAATTAACTTACCACAGTGCTGCTAAGTGGTATAGTCTGGTCCTAGGTTCATGATCATGGTGTGCCTGACCTCAGAAGCCATGCTTTTTTCCTGTGTGTCAAGCTGTAGCCAATAAGACACAACTTCATTCTCTCTTGTAATCCAGTAAGAAAACTGACAAGCACCCAGAATGGCTGTTCCTGCATCTCCAGATAAGGGGGAGAGACATCAGGTTGGTGGGATCCAGAAAGGAGGTAGAAGTTGACCTAGATTTTAAAGGATGGTGGATAAGGAACTCTTGTATTGAGTACTTAACTGTATTTATCATTGTGGGCCCTTTACATAATTTTATTTAATGCACAGCAATTCAGGGTTGGAAATATTGGGTTCATTTCACATATGGTAGAGATTTGAGACTAAAAGGTTGCAGCAAATTCCTGAAGGCTCTACACGGAATGAGTGCAGGAGCTAGGGTGGATCTCAACTGGTAGAGATGGAGTGAGGATTGGCATCGCTGGCAAAATGATGACATGAATAAAGGTAAGGACCTAGGAATGTGTGGTATGGCCCCAAAACATTGAAGAGCCCATTGTCCTGGGTTCAAGGAAAGGGGGAAAGTAATACTAGAAAAAGTATTTTGGAGCCAGAATCATTAAAAGTCTTGCATACCAAAGTTTAAGAAATTTGTACTTAGTTTGGAATGATGTCAGGGGCCATAGATTACTTGAGCAAGCAAATGAGATGAAGACTTTGTAGTTTTATGAGAGATTGGAAGAGGAAACTAGTTAGGATGTCAAAAGTCACAGAGAGCTGGCAGAGGGACCCGAAGAGGTAGGGAAAAAAGGAAAGCATAGTAAATGTTCTCTGAAAGTTGTCCAGAGTATCTGCTGTGTTCTTGTGCTTTTGTAACTGCTAGGTGTGTACATTCTATAGAAGATTAGTGGAGGGAAGGGATGTTGATAGATATTTAGTAAGGAGATTCTCAAATTGTCTTAATGGGTTCCTCAGACTATTGAAAGAACTCCTAATACAGGAATTTCTTCAGAAGTTCCACCTTATGTTTTAGTCCGTCCTGCCCTCCTTCCTGAACTGAGATATTTTAGGCCCTCTGTTGGCTTCTGGATTCTCCTTTCTCTAAGCCCTAAAGGACTCCAGGGTTTCATTTGTCTTCCAGACATCTTCCCAACCTTAACCAGACTTGATGTAGGATTCTGATGTTCCAAGGAACTTTATACCCTCATAAGTTGACATCATCAAATAAAAACTATTAATATAAAATAAATTCAGAAGGGCCCCATGAATAACCCTGCCTATCTTCTAGCGCATTCTTCATACACGTGCGCACACAATTTGACCCCCCTCGCCGTAGGCTAAAGTTACTTTCAGTTAACACCTTCATTTGAAGGTGCAAAGCTAGCCACCATCATGTTGTCTTTGAAACTTCGGCAGTCCAGGGGTTAATGTTTCCATATCAGTGAGCTTCGTACTGGCTGGCCTTTGCAGCTGATAGATGTTTTACTTTGGCCTTATAAAGACATTTTACCCGCTGGAAGCCCTTGTCGCATGACAGGATCAAAAATAGCCCGGCTGCAGCCCCTGCTGTCCATCACCACATGTAAACTGGCATGAGTGTAGGCTCTCTTAGCCATGTCCACACATTGTGGACGGGGTGGCCTCTCGGGACAGTATTTCGTAAAGCCACACCTGTCGCTGGGAGTGAAGCAGTCACCTGACCTGCAGAGGAGTTTTGAGTGTGTGCATGGCCATGCGTCTGGTTTCTGACAAGCAGCAATTCAGAACATCGCTGAGTGTCCTGAAAAACCCTGGATGACGTGGTTTCTCCCTGGCACTGGGAAAGATCTACAAGTCAAGTAAAATGGAGTGTATTTTTATCATTGGGGTCAAAGTTCGCTACCCTCTGTGATAAATTCATCTTTTCCATGGATGTTTGTTAATGAGTGTTTTCAGTATAACTCTGAAAAGGCAAAGCAAAATCTGTTTTTGAATATCTAAATGTGACTTTTTCTGTTTTGAGTTCCTTAGAATTTGAAGATTGTTATTTATATTTCTTATAAGTTGGCTCTGCCAACATCCAGATGGCATTATAGTGTCATATTTTTAGAAACATAAGGGTTTCGTTGGAGATTATTTTAAAGAAAGATGAAATAAACCAGATGTTCATGGTAGTATTTTAAGTGGACAGTAATGAATCCTAAGAGTGAGAACTGAGATACATGGGTTTTTAGAAATACCTCGTGTGATTTGATTTTTAACAAAATTAATGTTTTAGTAAAGTCATTGGAGCGTGTCTTGTATGTGATCTCTGAATGCGTAATTTAAAAAGGTACTTGATTTTGTTTCACTGTCTTGAACTTTTGCGGGATAATATATAACAATAGAATTGATTCATATAAAATACCTACTTATAGGCAGATTTAAAGCAGATATGCAAGTAAGTCTATTTCTGTTGATCTGGAGGATAAGACAAGAGTTAGTAGATGCGCCAAAAAAATTGTTTCCTTACTCTAATATGTGAACCTTTTTAAGTTTTATTAATTTGGGAAATATTTAGTTGTGTGTCCGCATCCCTGCCTTTTCCCTCAGCCTCATCATTTCCCCAAAACCCCTTCTGTCTGTCTTGCATAGAGATAAACAAGCTGGCTGACCTTCAGTTGCCTGATAGTCAAACAGGTTTGCTTGACCCTTGTGTCCTTATGAATTTTATGGAGAAAAAGAAAGAAAAGACAAAAAGTGTGCTGCACCTCTCGTTGGGAGTCACTGCCATGAATGTTAATAGCATTTCCATAGCTTCCCACGATGGCCTCTTGTGATAGAGTGAGCTGCACTACCGTTCGTTTGAGAAGTGTGATTCTGCTGTGTTTACCACACTTGTGAACTTTTAAACTCCTGTTTTTATTTTGTCGCCTGCTTCTTTTCATGATTATTTTTAATAAGGGTGACTGAGGTTGCAGAGAGATTAATGTGTGCTGAGTCTGCATAGCCATCTGAAGTAGGGTTGCCATGATAATAAACGTACCGATTTTGTTGAAACTGTCATTGTGACAAACCGGCCGTCACAGCCTGGGAACCGAGTGATCGCGGTGCCCTGTTTGAGCCCTGCACCCACGGCCGAGGGCCGTGCTATCTGCTAGTGAGCAGTTTCGTTTTGCGAACTCGTGACAAGTGTCTAAAGTCTTCATCGATTATGCATTTCTTAAATACCTCTATGTGCACGGCCCTCGTGACCCTTGATTCATTTTCCAAACTGTTGCTAAACGCTATCCATGGGACCTCGACGGTCGCAAACAAAAATTCCAGCAGGGAGGGTGTCCTCGCCTTTTGGCAGCTGCATTCCTTTGGGGGCACCCCGCCCGAGCGCTTGCACGGCGCCCCGGAGCGCAGATATTGTGGCAACCCTATGCTCGTAACCACCACTAAATTGGGGTCTGGGGTCTCTCGGAGCGAGCGGCGCCGCGCAGCCCGGAGCCCGGCGCGGCCTGACTCGGCGTCCCGTTTCTCCGCAGGATCCCCGCCCACTACGTGTACCCGCAGGCGTTCGTGCAGCCGGGGGTGGTCATCCCGCACGTGCAGCCCGCCGCCGCCGCCGCCTCCACCACCCCGTACATCGACTAC